TGGTTGCCTCTATTTCAAAAAATACAAAAAGAAAAGAAAAGAAAAGAAAACTTGGTTGCCAAGTAACTCAGTTTATTTATTTATTATTTTTTTAAGAAGTGATTCAAATGGTAAGGCACTTATCTCTAGAATCTATGGTAGATTTGATTACCTTTGTGGTCTTTGGGTGTCAACCCGAATGGGATTGCACACGGAGAGTGACATGCGATCTATATCATACTAATCCCCGTATTCTATCATTAAAAACAATGTTTTCTATACACAAATATATGACATGTTTGTTTTCGGTATAATAATATAATATATTATATAAATTAATACAGATGATAAATTAATACAGTATATGTTATATTATTGAATACGACTTATTTTTAGCATATTGTATTATATTTATTTATAATAAATTAATAATTTATGTTAGAGTTGGATAAGATCAGGGGTCAGAGTCGGGCCAATATTGTCTATAATTATTGAAAAATTTAGGAGTACAATGCAAATTTTTTATTTTTTTAAAATTACATTTTGACCCTAAAATTTTTACAAAAGTATATTTTGACCCCAAAACATTTATAAAATTACACCTTGACCCCAATTTTTTTAAAAATTTAATTTTGACCCCAAATTTTTTTTAAAAATTATATTTTAACCCCAACATTTTTCAAATTTTACATTTTAACCCCAAAATTATTAATTTTTTATATTTTGATATCTTATACAATAAGTTATGATACCAAACACGTGTGTTATGATAATACAACATAATACAACACAATACAATACACCTTATATAATACAATACAATACAATACAAGCTACCAAATATGACCATACTTTCTTTGTGTTTTATTCATAGTATTACATTAATGTGGAGAACAAAAGAGGTAGGACAGGACGTTAAAGTCAAATCAACATAGTTTAAACTAATGTTGAAACCAACAAGGTTCAAACTCAAAGTTGTTGTGAATGATGAAAGTGATTAGGAAATATCGTCTCCGGCTGGAGCGAGATTAAATTCATACTTGTTATCATTTATACTTTTTAATTTTGCCAACCAAATTTGACCAGCACCTCGTAGCCCCAACACCACATATATTTATGACCATTTCCTTGGCTGCCAAGAAAAACGTGAATAAAATAAAGAGAGATAATAATGTACAATACTCTTGTGTGATGCTAATCACAGGGAAAATCTAATGATAGATCCAGTTGGATACTTCAACTTACTTATTTGCTCCGGAACAAATTGTATAATGTACACGATCAATTCATATATGTTGTCCCATTTTTATTAGATTATAATTGACAAAATTAAAATCCTTTTGATACAATTACATTTTGAACAAGTAAAAGCTTATAAAGATTTATTAATTGATAAGACCTTTCCCTCTTTCCCTTCTTTTCCTTCTCTCTTTTTAGTTATATAGAGTGAGAGGAGAATTCATTAGGGGTCCGTTTAGTTCGCTGATTTGAATTTTTAATTCGAGTTAAGATATCATTTTATGTGAAATTTTTTTACTGTAATAAAAAAGTTAGATGCGACTGCTTATTAGAGCTTTTTACCGTAACAAAACTCAAATTTTAAACTCAATTCGGTAAAATGAACGGAGATTTTTTCTTTTGGGGACATTTATGAGAATTCATAGACTTAGTGCTGCAAGTTCGGGCGGCGGACATGCCCGATGCCTGAAAAATTTCAGGCACAGCGGGCAGGCGCCATTCGCCGCCCTTCCGACCATTTTGGCCGGACTCGGGCTCAGGCAGCCCACCGGCGGTGGAGAAGTTGAGTTCGCCGATGCCCGAATTTTGCTCGAATTTTGAACCCAACGACTCTTTTTGCCCAACCCGACCGCCGCCCAAAATCTATCCAAATTTTGAACCCCAACCGCTATTTTTATTACTGTTGCCCGAATTTGCCCGAACCCGATCCTATTGCCCGAATTTTCCATAACCATTGGAACCGAATTTTTGGGAGAATTTTTTTTTTTCAAGCCAAAAAATTTCCTATAAATACTCCCATCCTCCAACCATTTTTCTCACCTAAAAACTCTCATATTCTCTTAATTTCTCTCAATCTCTCTTAAATCTCTCTTAATCTCTCTCAAATCTCTCTTAATCTCGCTTAACTTTCTTTCGATCTCTATTAATATTTCTCAAAGCGCTCTCAATTTTTCAAATATCTCTCAAGAAATTAGGCATTTTTGACTTGAGGTGACGTTTGATTCCTTTTAGGTTTACTAAGAAATGTCGTTGTCTCCGACTTAATTTAGATTCATAAAAATGCTTGTCGCATCCTTTTGTCTCTTCACCTTCACATGCCCAGTTGAAAGTTACTTTTTTATATTATTTGGCCTTCAAAATTGACAAATCCTTAGCCCCAACACCACATATATATTTATCATTGATTCATTTTTACCTAGCTGCGTACTCTAAAAACGACATAGATCCAATTGCATTTATACTACAGCTATAGATCCAATTGTATAAACATCTCTCTCTACATATATACACAAACATATACATAAATTTTGTGACTCAGCTGCGAGAGTGTCCCTCATTGAATAGGAAATGCACAATAAATTAAGGGTCCGTTTAGTTCGTTAATTTGAGTTGAGATGTGATTTTGTACGAGAATTTTTTACTGTAATAAAAAAATTAAATATGACTAATATAAATTAAATTTTAAATTCAAATCGATAAAATAAATAAAGCATAAATAATTGATGGATAGCTACATGAGGAGCTAGTTTTACATTAATTTCTTGAGAAGAATAATAAAGGTTTGATGATTAAAAAAAAAGGTTTTTTTTTTTATATATACCAATTAGGAAAATTCTACAGTAGAATAGGATATTTTTTGTTATGATTTGACCAGCTAATATTACAAGACGTGGACGACCAATAAACATATTCTACCATAGAAAAACTCATGTTGCGGCAGAAAAAAAGTAATTTTCTTTTGGCATATTACCTAAGACCGTGGCACAAGATCATGATTAATACTTTGATGGGTTCAACTTCGGGGCTTGAGTACTACTTGACATTCCTGCAACTGAAAATAATTATTTACCTACTGGTGACTTAATTACTAGTAATTATCTGCCCGGGTAATTAGTATATAATAATCATGATTATGTTCCCCTCGTATGTGGTGAATATATATATAGTGAAACGAATACTGGCAAATATGAAAACCGAACATATATTGCCAGCAATTTCGAGATTTTTTTTTCTCCCCTCGAGATTCCTTGATTGGCATTTCATGCAACATCATGAGGAATAGTTTATGTTCATGAACCAACGTATTCTTATTAGACACGGAATTTCTATGGTGAAGAACTGTCGTTTTATACACTGTCCGGTATCGTTGATTTTTTAGCGGTTGAATTTATAAATAAGAATAATTGTGTGGCGTGCTATTAATTTTAATGTACATATTTATAAATTAAACCGTTAAAAAGTTAATTTAATAATTAAAAAATAAGAAAAAAGTACATAATTTATTATAGATTTTTGCACGCATATTATTTATACCATTTTAAATAATTAAGTGTTATAATGACTTTTTATTTTCTCTTTATTAAATAAATGATAATTATTTATTTTTCAGTGATATAAATAATATTTTTATCATTTTGAGCGGTATTTTTGATTTTTTTTTCTTAAAACATAGTTCTTATTGATAGATAGAAAATTTCTATTAAAGGATCATATATATATATATATATATATATATATATATATAGACACACACACACTGATTGATTTGTATTAAACGATCGTATTTTGTAATAGGTTCCGGCAATGATTCTCGTTTAGTGAAACTGATAAATATATGATTCTACTTTTACTTGTACATCTTTTCCACCATGTGTAAAAATGAAATTGTTGATTCAGCAAAAAAAAAAAAAAAAAAAAAAAAAAAAAAAAAATTGTTGAACAAATCAACTAAGGTTTAAACTCGACCAGAACAAAAACGTTTAATGAAAAGTCATCTTTTGAGAACGTATTATTATGTCGCCACTCGAATAAAACAAAGTGAATTAATAAAGCATATTAAATGATGACAGAAAGGAGTACTTTTACTTTCATCATGTACATTAAGCCAAAATGAGCACAATTATAATATTATTTACCATATTTAAAAAACATGCGGTTGGGTCTGTGTGTAGAAATTAGAAATTACACTTCAAAACAATTGCCTATATATGTATTGTAAGCTAGCTTATATCATATGGAAAGCAAGAGTGGTGTGGATGTGCAGCGACTGGAGAGAAGCAAAAACTTGCCTTGGGCTATAAATTTGTTAGGCTGAGCGCAAATCACTAGGGCTGGAGTGACATACAATTAAGGTAGACGATCGTCCCGCTTGATTCTTTTTTTATATATTTTATATTTTTATATGTGAAATCTGATAAAATTTTCGGTTCTTGATTCTCTTAAAATTTCGAAATCTTATGTTTATCCCACTTCATAATATGTAAAATATATATCATGTCCATTTTATACATAGAATCTGATAAAATCACAGTTCGAAGTAAGGACACAACAAAAAGACATGAGTGGGTGAGCAAATGTTACGTGGAATATTAATGATGTGACACACAGATTTATATTGCAGAAATGCAGAGTTTGAGCCAAAAAGAATACTGCCTCCACCAAAGACGCTTCTTTACCAATGGCTTCCTTGGGGAGTTCACTTAATGGTTCGTACATATTGTATTCCTTTTAGTCTCTACTATCTCACACTTTTATTTCCCTATAGTGATAAACGAAGCTAAAATATATGTATGTATATACGCGCGCGCGCGCGTGTGTGTGTGTATATATATATGTATTTATTTTCTTAAATATATGTTTGTTTTCTTCATTTCTCTTTCTTTCAATCATTAAGTGGCAAGTTTTGTGATTCTTCCAATCATTGTGCAGGCATATTATCGTCTATTTGCGATGGAAAGTTTGATTTGGGATTCAAGGAATTATCATAGACATCATAAATCTGCTTTTCCTCTGTGTCTTCTGTCTGGTGGATATCCTCCTTTTCTTTGATTTCGGCAGTAAACGTCGAGAAACTGTTAAGAACAAGGAGCATTAAAGTCATTGACGTAGTTCAGTGGATAGTGAATTTTTTGATTCTGGTTTGTGCTTCTACGAACTTAAAAGAAATGGTTTCTAACCAGAGTCAAGATGACGGACTATTAGAACCTCTAGTGATAAAAAATGCTGAAAGAAGCAGAATAGAACTAGACCAAGCTGGTTTTCTTAGCAAATTAACATTTTCTTGGATTGGCCCTTTACTTAGCTTGGGATATTCAAAACCATTATCTCTAGAAGACATTCCTTCTTTGGATTCAGAAGACGAAGCCAACATAGCGTACCTCAAGTTCAAACAAGCATGGGATTCTCTCTTAAGAGAGAAGGATCATGGGGACAAGAAGAACTTGGTTCTTTGGGCAGTAATAAAAGTTTACATGAAAGAGAACATATCAATTGGAATTCTTGCACTTCTCAGGACAATCTGTGTGGTGGTTTCTCCCTTGATACTCTACGCTTTTGTGAACTATTCAAATAGGAATGAGGAAAATCTCAAACAAGGCCTTTCTATTTTAGGGTGCCTAGTCGTTTCCAAGTTGGGTGAATCCTTAAGTCAAAGACATTGGTTTTTCAAGTCAAGGAGGTGTGGATTGAGGATTAGATCGGGCTTAATGGTTGCGGTGTATGAAAAGCAGCTAAAGCTCTCTAGTTTGGGAAAGCGAAGACATTCAACTGGTGAGATTGTGAATTATGTGGCGGTTGATGCCTATAGAATGGGTGAATGTTCATGGTGGTTCCACACAATATGGTCTTGTGGAGTCCAACTTTTTCTAGCCATTGCCGTTCTCTTTAAGGTCATTGGATATGGTGCTCTTCTTGGTTTAGTTCCTCTCCTCATATGTGGACTTCTCAACGTGCCGTTTGCAAAATTACTCCAAAAGTGTCAATTTGGGTTCATGATTGCACAGGATGAGCGGCTCAGGGCGACTTCAGAGATCCTAAACAACATGAAGGTCATTAAACTCCAATCGTGGGAAGAGAAGTTCAAGAACTTGATCGAGTCCCACCGCGACAACGAGTTCAAGTGGCTGGCTGAGGCACAACTTAAGAAGGTGTATGGAACTCTGTTGTATTGGATTTCTCCAACCATCATATCTTCAGTTGTCTTCTTTGGATGCATTCTTCTTGGTAGTGCCCCACTAAATGCCAGCACCATTTTCTCTGTTCTAGCTACATTGAGAAGCTTGTCGGAGCCTGTCAGAATGATACCCGAGGCTCTTTCTGTAATGATCCAAATAAAGGTCTCCTTTGATCGGATCAACTCTCTTTTACTCGATGACGAACTTAAAAATGAAGGGAAAAGAAAGTACCCTTTGCCCATTTCAGAAAAGAGCTTGGAAATTCAAGGAGGGATTTTCAGTTGGGATCCTGAATTAACAATTCCAACTCTACGAGAGGTGAATCTGGAGATAGGATTGCGGCAAAAGATAGCAATTTGTGGGCCAGTTGGAGCAGGAAAGTCCACACTCTTGCATGCAATACTAGGAGAGATCCCCAAACTTTCTGGAGCTGTAAGTAAAGAAGGGACAACATCGGGTTATGTTTTGTTACTCACTAAATTTTTGTGTTTTTGACTTCTGTTTATTGATGATTGCAAACAGGTCAGTGTATATGGTTCCATTGCCTATGTTTCTCAGAATTCTTGGATACAAAGCGGGACACTTCGCGATAACATACTATATGGGAAGCCAATGGAGAAGGATACGTATGAGAAGGCTATAGAAGCTTGCGCCCTGGATAAGGACATTAACAGTTTTGATCATGGAGATCTTACAGAAATAGGCCAGAGAGGGATTAACATGAGTGGTGGTCAGAAGCAGAGAATTCAGCTTGCTAGAGCTATCTACAATGATGCTGATATCTATCTCCTTGATGACCCCTTTAGCGCAGTTGATGCACATACTGCTGCAATTCTCTTTAATGTAAGGAAGACAATTTTTTTTTTTTTTTGAGCACGAAACAATTGATTAATTTGTCTTAACATAAATCTTGTTGAATGATATTCAGGACTGTGTCATGGCTGTTCTGAGAAGTAAGACTGTAATCCTTGTGACTCATCAAGTAGAGTTTCTCTCTGAAGTTGATAAGATTCTGGTAAATTAGCATAACTTTACAGAGTGCTTATCAATAATCTTATGTGCGATTTGATGGTCAATGGGATTTGTTCTTACCGTTTCTCATTTTCTAGGTTATGGAAGGAGGAAAAATTACTCAATCAGGCAGCTATGAGGAATTATTGGAAGCTGGGACAGCATTTGAACAACTTGTGAATGCTCACAAAGATTCCATAACAACATTGGGCCCATCAAATGATGGAGGCCAAGGAGAACCTCAAACGGGAGGCACGGTTCGGTCGGAAGAGAGTCATGGTTCATACTCCATTAAACAAAGCAGTGAAGGGGAGATTTCTGCAACGGGCCTACCTGGAGTGCAGTTAACACAAGAAGAAGAAAAGGAAATTGGTGATGTGGGTTGGAAGCCATATTGGGATTACATATTTGTCCCTAAAGGGTCATTTCTTCTAGTTTTAGGCTTAATAACTCAGTTTGGATTTGTTGCATTCCAAGCTGCTGCAACTTATTGGTTAGCTTTAGCCATTCAAGTTCCTAGGATCACAAGTGGCATGTTGGTTGGGATTTACACTGCAATTTCTGCACTTAGTGCTGTCTTTGTGTATCTTAGATCATTTTTTGCAGCGCATCTTGGATTAAGAGCATCTAAAGCTTTCTTCTCTGGTTTCACCGAAGCCATCTTTAAAGCTCCCATGCTCTTCTTTGACTCGACTCCTGTTGGTCGAATCTTAACTAGAGTAAGTTTACTGACAAGTTTTGGTAAAAAAAAAAAAAAAAAAAGTACCCACATGAGGCATTTTGGAATTCATGGTTATTTTTAAACCTTTGCAGGCTTCATCAGATTTGAGTATTGTGGACTTTGATATACCCTTCTCTATTATCTTCGTAGCGGCGGCTGGTATTGAGTTTTTGATGACCGTTGTAATCATGGCTTCCGTCACATGGCAAGTTCTCATTGTGGCCATTTTCAGCGTGGTTGCTAGTAAATATGTTCAGGTACGTGAAAACTCTAGGTTTCAGTCTCTTCTTTATAAATAAGATTTTGGAACTAAAAGCTATTCAATGTAATCTGAAGGGCTACTATCTAGCTACTGCAAGGGAGATAATAAGAATCAATGGAACAACAAAAGCTCCTGTTACCAACTATGTATCCGAGACGGCACTTGGTGCGGTCACAATAAGAGCTTTTCGATCAGTCGATCAGTTTTTCCAGAATTATCTAAAGCTTGTGGACACCGACGCATCATTATTCTTCTTGTCTAATGCAGCCATTGAGTGGTTAGTTATAAGAATAGAAGCACTTCAGAATTTGACCCTTTTCACTGCAGCTTTTCTCCTAATCTTACTTCCAAAGAGTCAGGTGGCTCCAGGTACTTAAATGAATGTCCATCACTTATACGAGGAAACTAGTTTCAATAGTTTTAAATGATGATCATTATTTTTCTCAACTTTCGTTGATGCGCACAACAGGTCTTGTGGGGCTTTCTCTTTCCTATGCATTGTCACTAACAGGGACAGTTACTTTCATGACTCGTTGGTATTGCAACTTATCAAACTACATTGTATCAGTTGAAAGAATTAAACAGTTCATGCACATTCCACCAGAACCTCCATCTATCATTGAAGGAAATAGGCCGCCTCCTTCATGGCCCGCCAACGGTAGGATTGAGTTGCATTCTTTAAGGGTAAGATAATCAAGCTCATGGACATGAACTTTCTTCATTGCAATTGTTTTTGACCTCTTTAGTTAACCAAAAATCATTACAACTATATTTTGCTCTGGTTAATTCAGATTAAGTATCGTCCAAATGCTCCAACAGTTCTCAAGGGAATAACATGCATATTCAAAGAAGGGACTAGAGTAGGAGTCGTGGGAAGGACAGGAAGCGGAAAAACTACACTCATAAGTGCTTTGTTCCGTCTAGTAGAACCAACAAGTGGGCAAATTATTATAGATGGACTTGACATATGCTCTATTGGTTTGAAAGATCTGAGAATGAGCCTCAGTATCATCCCACAAGAGCCAACTCTTTTCCGGGGTAGTATTCGAACTAATTTGGACCCTCTTGGCCTTTACTCCGATGATGAAATATGGAGGGTGAGCCACAATACTCTCTAGCATCGGCTTCACTTTTTTTTGCCACATTTTGGCACAAACAAGTTTTAGTAAATTCTTTATCTTTACTAATATAGTATTTTAGAAATTCCTTGATTCTTTGTCTTTAGGCTCTAGAGAAGTGTCAGCTTAAAGCAACAGTCAGTAGCCTTCCCAATCTCTTAGATTCCTCTGGTGAGTTTACTTTATTCTGCTTAGCATTAACCTCTTTAGAAAAATGCAAGTTCAATCCTTGTTTAATGTCTTGATCGCCCATTTTGGTTCTCTAGATCATATTGGTTTGTGGTTGAAATTTCTGTCTCAACAGTGAGTGACGAAGGAGAAAATTGGAGTGCTGGGCAACGCCAACTCTTCTGCCTTGGCAGAGTCCTCCTTAAGAGAAACAGAATTCTAGTTCTAGATGAGGCCACCGCTTCCATCGATTCCGCGACAGACGCGATTCTCCAAAGAATCATCAGGGAAGAATTCTCAGAATGCACAGTCATAACCGTTGCTCATAGAGTTCCTACTGTTATTGACAGTGACATGGTCATGGTGCTCTCTTATGGTCAGTTTTCTTTCGCAGCCATCATTCGTTTCGCAGTTTAAAAGCCGCTTACTAAAAGTGTGACCGGAGTTTTCTTGTCTTTGCAGGGAAGCTAGTGGAACATGACGAGCCTTCAAAGCTTATTGATGCCAACTCCTATTTCGCCAAGCTTGTAGCAGAATACTGGTCAAGCTGCAGAAGAAACCCATAAAACAACAAAAATAATAGCAATCATAAGTCATAGCTTCTCCATGATAATAAATTGAAGCTGTACTAGAATATTCTAATTTCATTTTGCCATGATCCTGCCTCGTTTGGTATTATCCATATACATAAATTCTTGGAGAGTAAAATGGACCATATGTTGTTAATAAGACAAGAAACTAAGGGGTTGTTTTTTGCATTTTTGAGTTAAGATAATTTGAGTGATGATTTTGAGTTGAGTTTGAGTTATAACTTGAGTTTAAGTTGTAACTTGAGTTTGTGTTTGGATGTATACATTTGAGCTATGATTTAAATTGAGAATCTTTTTGAGTTTGAGTGGGTCAAAACTTAAATTTGTATTTAGATGGTATTTTAATAAAAACTCAATGGTGATGAAAAATTTTAATAGGGTATATGAGTGGGGTTTTATTCGTCTTTTCATTGTGAATACATAGAAAAAAATCATCTCAATCAGAATTAAAATAAAAAAATTATGACATTTTTAAGAATAGAAAAAATACTGTTTATTAATTTGAGTTCGAGTTTATGAACTCGAGTTGAAGGGAAAACTTAAACTCAAGTTTAGCCCCAAACTCGAGTTCAAATTCGAGTTCAAACTTAAATTTTACAAAAGAACATGAACTTGAATAAAGTTGTAACTCAAATTCAAATTTTTTTTGAGTTTGTTACAAAATAACTACCCCTAAGGGACCTGCTAAGGATTCTCTAGTAAGTTTGTCACTTTTATGGCGATAAATATCTTGAAGTCAATTCAAGAAATATTTTTGTCGTGTTTGGAATTGTTCTTATTTTTATTTTTCACGTTTTTTGAAATAAATAAATAAAAATGATTTTAAAACGGCGTTTGACATAGTTAAAAAGAAAAAATGAAAATGAAAACGATTTTTTAGTTTAGTGTAAAATGAGAGAGAAATGAAAAGTCATTTTTCATTTTTTATTTTTATTTTCTCCTCTTTCGAGCATAGAGAGAGACATTAATGAGTTTTTTTATACTGAAAATAATCTCTTAATAAAACTACCAAACGCTTTTTAAAAATAATTTTTATCTGAGATTGAAAACGTCTTAATTTCCATTTTCATATAAAAAATAAAATTATTTTAGAACGAGTTCCAAACGCGCCATTTGTCATTAGCATTCCAAGTTTCCAAATTCAAACCTTTTCCACTTTGCTTTTGAATCAAGTTTAATTTGGATGCAAGACTCGATTTGCATGCGCTCGATCTTTTTTTTTTATCAAAATCGAGTTCAATGTGCAAAATGCTTCCTTAACATGTCAAAATCAAAAGGTTTAATTAGCCTCATTACAACAAGCTTTCATCAGTCTTGAAAACTTCCCTTTTAGTATAAACCCAATATTGTACAATTATTTAAACAGACAATGACCTTAAAGTGGGACTACAGAGTATTAAACTCTGAACTCATCCTAAAATGAAGATAAAAAATATCATTTTAACCGCTTCACAGCCAGCTCATTGGTGTTATATTTTAGGAGAAAATCGTTGAATACTTAATCTTAGAATATATGGGTCTAAATTTGTACCATTTAATATTGGTTAAGACTGTTTTGACTAATGTAGTTATTTGATTAAAAATGATATTCATCAAAGATAAAAGTGTAAAAGTTCAGACTCGTACATTTTAAAAGGTATTTGTCTCATTTTTTCGTATTTTAGTGATGTACTAATAAACATCTAACTGCTTAAGTTTTAGGAAACATTGGTAAACTAAATACGGAATATTCACTCATACCATAGACCAATTAAAACTAGTGCATTCATATAGTTCAAGACAAAATTATGGAAACAACAATAGCAACGACAACCAAAAAGGGGCTTTGTTTGCCAAACAAAGCAAAACATGTGTACTTCAGTAAGCTTGCAAAAAGCGCACAAACGGTTGGCAACTAGTTGTCAAATCGTGTAATGATCAAAGAAGCGTTTTCCTCGATGAAAATTGTGTCAATTAGGCTTAGCAGAGTCTTCTCAAGCTCTTCCCCATCGGTCCACGCTTGGATATTGGCCTTAATAAGTTGTGGGTTCTTAGAAATTAATTCCCATACTGGGAAATTCTTTCTTGGCATCACAAAATCTCTCCCTTTGAGCTTTAAACTTGGGCAGTAATCCCCAACGCCGTCACCAAGGTAAATGAACCTTTTGTTTCCCTCAGCTGCCATAGAAGCTCTGATTCTTTCTAAAATCAGACCCTATAGTAAATTGGGACATCATTATATTAATTAACTGATTAAAAAAGTTTGAATAAAAAATAATGGAATACGATTTTATTTCATTAATTTAATTAAGTTAGGTCAGCAATTAAAGCAAAAATCTTTTGAGTAGGGATGAGCTTTTTATCTATAGGTGTGGGTACTTGACCCTAATAGAGTGGGTATGAGACTTTATTAAGTGAGGGCAGAATGGGTACATGAGTATTTATATTATCTTCCGAATTAGGGGTGGGGGTGGAGAAAACAACCCTGCCCACCCCGACCCCATATACATATACCTAATTTAAGAACCATTACTTATATATATATATATATATACACACATATTTCATGTTATTTCTTATTACAAACTTTAAGTTTTGTGAACTGTGGTGCTTAAGAAGAATAACAAACAATGAAGTTAGTGTGGAGACTGGAAATGGAATAAATAAATTAAAAGAATAATGCATTATTCTCCTGCGTTTCTAATGTTTTACTCTGAAGACTTCAATTTATTAGTTAGTTTGCATTTTCTTTTAAGATTTTGGTTTGTTTTTATGAGATATTAATGCTATGTTGTTGAATTTTTTATTTAATTTAATACAATTCACTTTTAGAATTAATAGGTACGGCCGGAACAGAAAAAGCCTCATGCAATGGAATCATTAAGGGGATGTTTGGTGGATGAATTCGTTTTCTGATTTGAATCATGATTCATGATTCGTTATAATATTTTCTCTCATAAAAAATTCACGTAAATTAAAAATGATTCAAATCACATGATTTAAATTATCCAACCAAACGTCCTCTAACACTGACCCGCCTTAAAAATGTAAGAGGTACGAAACTGGTGTAGAGGCAAAAGTAAAAATGAGTGCGTGAGTGGGGAAACCATATCTGATCCTCTTCCACCCAATAATTATCCCTAATAATTGCGACGGCTGCATTTAGCAGTGGTCCTTATTTCAAGTAATCGGAAGTCAAAGAAGGGCTACTGGAAGTCAAAGCTTTTTATCGAGTGATCATTACCTTTTTTTTAATTTAGATTCTGCTCTTTTTGTTTAAAATTAAATTTTATTACAGAAAATTTTTTTTAAAAGTGATCATATTTAATTTTTTCATTACAATAAAAAATTTTCACATAAAATTATATTTTAATTCAAATTTAAAATTCAAATCAATAAATTAAATAGGCCTTAAAAACTTATATATCAGAATTAGTTTAAAAAAATACATGATTCAACTACATTTTCGCATCCTCTTGACCAATAGATAAAGGGTGGGCTTCTGTCCGCAAATTGTTTAACCCAATTAACAAAATCATGTGACTTTAGTTAATACATCGATACTTACATAAGCTCGAGAAGCGTTTGATATGCAGTAAGTAATCAGTATATGGAGTAATATAACTCTAATTTCATTTGGATTTTTTTTTTTTTTGAGTAATATAACTCTAATTTCATTTGGATTTTTTTATTTTTTATTTTATTTTTTTTTTGGAAAAGAGAGCAGAACTAATATATGAACATAATAAATCGAAATACATACCTTGCACATGTTTGGAGGGCAGAGGTTCCAGCCAAGGGGACACTTGTTGACATGAAAAGGGAAAATCCTAAGCCTTCCTTCTTCATCAACGAAGCTTGGATTAGTGTAGATCTCGGTAAAGCATTCCATCAGCCCAAGATGCTCCAAAATCGTCTCAATGAAAAAGGCGTTTGCATCACTAACAATTCTTAAATCGCACCTGTTAAAGAATGTATGTATAAATCACCACAAAATTAGTTGTACGTATATATCATATTCAACATTACCAGATGATAATGGGTATACATACCCGAGAGCATGAGCAGCTTTAATGGCAGCAACAACTCTTGGATGTATAGGAGTCTGTTTTAGGACCTCCACAATGTCTTCAATGGTTTTTCCTTGTTCATGAAGCTCCTTCATCATCCTATTCTGAAAAATTCATCACCAAAAGATCAGTTTCGCCATATATATATATATATCTGTGTGTGTGTGTGCGCGCGCGCACATTATAGTATTGTTTGTTATTTTCTTTCTTTTTACGTACGCCTCAATGTACATGAAAGCAATTAAAGGAAAAAAAAAAACACAAACAAATCACGCTTAATTTATTTTTCATCCTGTACTCGTGCTTATGTTTTTTATCTTGTAAGGAATTAAGTCCAATACGTTATTTCATTATTTTCTCTCTTTTTTACACCAAAACATTTCATGACCAAACTCAAGAAAACATATATATGAAAGACTTCAAGACGTATTAGAAACAAGAAAGAGGTAGCTAGCTAGCTTACCATGAGAGAGTTCCATGTCATGGTTGGAAGAAGTTGGTTGAATAGATCCGTGGCGCCCAACTCGTCGACGACCAAGTTTTCGCAGTCGCATTCGATGATGGTCTTGTCGAAGTCAAAGACCACTACGATTCTGTCCATGATCTTTTGTTTTTGTTTTTTTTTTTTCTTTTTTGCCAAATTAACCGCGGAATTTCGCACACAAATATTTAATAAGAGAACAAGAAAAATTCTGTCCATGATCTTTTGTTTTTTTGTTTTTTTTTGCGAAATTAACCGCGGAATTTCGCACACAAATATTTAATAAGAGAACAAGAAAGTTGCTCAAATATTTCTAGGGCACTGAGACTTCAGATATATTGGTGTTTATATATATAGGGCACTGAAAATACTAAAAGTATAATAACTAGAATTCTTGTTTCTGTTTTTGAGTAGGATTCTAATGCTACAAGAGTTATATCTGGAGACTAAACGGAAGAAAGTATTGAGACGCTTATGCATGCTATACGTCCTACGTTATTGATTATAACAGAAAGTGTGAAGTGGAATCGTGACATCGTGTTTAAGTTAAGAACGACAAATAAATTATGAGCTATATACATATATATTTACTAAAAGGATATGCCGTTTTATTACATATGACATAAAAAAAAAAAAAAAACAACAACTTGTTGTACAATTACGATGTTGTTTTCACAATGACACGACAAGAACTGCTGTAAAACGACATCAAATTCTATTCGACATAGGAAATATCGTTTGCTTATCCTTGAAGACAACACATTTCAAAATAAAAAAGGAAATAAAATTTTAAGTTAAATCGACAAGTATTTTATTTTATTTTATTTTTATAAAATTAAAATGCAAAATTCTATCCTAATAATTAGAGGGTCGTTCCTTACTTCCTTTACATAAAATAGAGCAAAGGACAACTAAATTAAATGCACCCCCAAAATTTTAACTTAAATCAACAAGTGTTTTATTTCTTAAAATGCAAGATTCTATCCTAATAATTAGAGGGTCGTTCCATTATATAAAATAGAGCAAAGGTCAACTAAATAATTAAATGCACCCCCTTTATGTTTACAGCAAAGCCCAATAGACTTTAAGTGCTAAAAGTCCCAAATGACTTTAAATGCTAAAAGTAACTTTTAGTTCTTTCCTATTTGAACCAAGCTATGCACCCGTGTAATAATTTTGGAAGATTGATTCCGTATTAAACAGGTGGCTTGCTTAGAAGTAAAGTTTATTAATTATAGCAAGGAGGAAAAAGTATTTAAAAGAATTACATAAAAAAATAATATAAATTATATAGGAGTTTTTCATTTAAAAAAAAAAAAAAAA